TGATTGACTTGAAACAGTATTGTAATTTTCATTTCATTTATTATTGATTTATATTCATTTATTGATTCACTTGAAATAGTATTGTGAGTTACAATCAGTTTATTATTTATTTATACTTGTTTATTGATTTACTTGAATTAGTATTGTGGTTTCAATCGATTTAATATTTATTCATATTTATTTACTGATTTATTTGAAATAGTATCGTGATTTATAATTGATCTCGTATTTATACTTATTTACTGATTCGTTTGAAATAGTATTATGAATTGGAATCAATTTTTTATTTGTTTATATTAATTTGTTGATCTACTTGATTTAATATTGTAATTTATAATCGATCTATTGTGTATTTATAAATATGTCAAATAAATTATCAAAAAGTCAAATCGAAGATAAAAAAAAAGAAATTGTGTCAAAAATTAAAGAAGGTAGATTGTGTACAACTAAAGAACGACCAACATCTGCAAAAGGTGAATTTTGGTCAAATTTACTTCGAATAAAAGATATGAATGGAATATATGAACCATTTGTTCAATGTGTAATTTGTCAACAAATATTATCATATGAAGTAAAAAATGGAACAAATTCACTTAATCTCCATGTACAGAGTTGTACAAAGAAAACTAGTTTACCAAAATCTACGATGCCGATTGACAATTATGTTAAAAAAGATATTAGTATACCTCCCGATGATAAAAGAATGATTACTGTTGCATGTTCAAAATATTGTGCATTTGACATGCGTTCTTTTAATTCTGTTAATGGTGAAGGTTTTAAACAATTATGCCAGGCATTGATTGATTTGAGTTATAAATATGGTTTAGCTAAATTAAGTAAACCATCTGTTGAAGTATTACTTCCTGATCGTACAAATATATCACGTACTATTAAACAAATTGCTAATGAATATCGTTTGAAAATGAATGACATTTTACGTGAAGATTTAAAAGAAGTTAAATTAATTGGAATAAGTACTGATTATTGGAAAAATTCTTATACAAGTGAGAATTTTTTAACCATAAACATTCATTATACAAAAAATGATAATCCTGTAACATATATGTTAAAAACACTTTTATTCTCAGGAACTAAAAGTGGTGAAAATACAATTCGAATTATTAAATCGGTATTGAGATCATATGATTTAGATCCAGATGATAAACATATTATATATTTAACAGATAATGCATCAAACTTCGTTTCAGGATTAAAAAATGAGGTACATCTAAGATGCATTTGTAAGTAATTCTTTATAGATTATACATAATTTTGTTCTACAGTAGGAAAAAAAAGAGCTCTTCTAAAGAGAAAGTCAGATTAATTGTTTAATAAAGATAACTTTCTTTAAGTCTAAAAAGAAATAGTGTTTCTATTTTCTAGAACATTATTTACGACCATAAAAGTTTAATAATTTTATGTTTATAATAATTGTTGTAGGTCATTGTTTGAATTTGGTTATTCAACATTCCATTCAGGAATGTCCAAATATTCATTTACTAGTTAATGCGGCTGCTGAACTTGTTACACATTTTAAAAGATGCGAGCTGAATCATATGTTATTCTTTTCTTTGAAGCAACACTGTGACAGTAGGTGGAACTCAGTCTACGATATGCTAAATTCTATTGATGTGAATTTTAAATGTATTGAAGATATTCTTTTGGAAAGAAAAGAATATGCCGATTATTTAGATAAAATTGATCATATATTATTAACAAATATTAGTAATATCTTATCGTTTTTCAAGGTGGCCAGTGAACAACTATCTTCGGATCAGGAACCTACTCTGCACTTGGTTTTACCTTGGATCAATAAATTAAAATCGTGTTGTGAAATTAAAAATAATGAATTACCAACAATTAAATATTTCAAAAAAATGATATTAGAACAAATAAAAGAAAAAGTTTGGCTTACTCGACTTCATGATATAGCAACATTTCTTCATCCTGTCACAAAAAACTTATTAGTAAGTTTTATACGCGAAAAAATATTAAAGTTTCATACATCTGTTGTTTATACTTATTCTATTTAGTCATACAGTCAAAAAGAACGAAATGACGTTTATAAAGCTACAAGGGATATGATGAAAACAATCAATATCATTGAACCTGATGAAAAACAAAAACAAATTTCTGCAACAGCTATTACTAGTACATCAAGAAAAACACCAAAAAAAATAAAAAAAGATGATTTTTTACAACAGGATGTAATGATGGAATTTGCTCAAGAAAATCAACCTGATTCAAGTGAAGAAGAAGATGATGATGAAGTTGATCGTTATATTAAATCAAAACTAATAATCAATCATGAAGAGTCTGTATTAAACTGGTGGAAAAAATGGTCAATAACATATCCAAAACTTAGTATTCTTGTCAGATCGTTATTTGGTATACCAGCTAGTTCATGTACCAGTGAAAGAATATTTAGTGCAAGTGGAAGGATACTAGAAGAACGACGACAACGTTTAAATGATGACATTGTTGATGATATATTGTTCATTAGAAATTTCAAAGGAATTATAAATTAATATATTGTAATGAAAAATAAAATAAATCAGAAAAATGTGATATTATTTTACAACGTATCACTTTTACAATCTTCTGAATAGGGAAGGATTAAGGAAGAGTAAGAAAGGAACTCTCTAGGGTAGTAGGGTAGGGTAAGGGTATAGGCTCTACAGGATAGGGTAGGGTAAGGGTAAGACTCTACAGGGTAGGGTAGGGTAAGGGTAAGGTTCTGCAGGGTAGGGTAGGGTAAGGGTCTGAGAAATTTTCTCATACAGGGTACAGGGTACAAAAAAAGCTTACCCTGCACATCTCTATTCATAGGATATACACCAACACGTAAGTTACAATTGATTATATAAGTTGGTTTAAATCAACATTACAAAAATAATCAATTCAAACAAAAAATGGTGTACGAAAATGGAAAACATCGAAATACAACTGTGCAGCGTTTTTTTAAGAATTATACATTATATAAAATATTCATAATATTGAATTGATTAATAAGATATGTTGTTGATTATTTAACTTTGAAAATAAGATTTTTCACATTTTTTCTTTAGTGTCAAAAAAATATCTCACTTTCTTGAGTTCTGGTGCAAATTTATATTATGTTAAATAAATTTTGATGCAAATTAGTTGTGGAAGAAGAAGCAATAAATGAGAAATAGTTAGTGAAACAGTTGAAGAAAAAGGATCTATATTTGCTGAATCCGATGAAGCTGCATTTGTATATGCACCACTCGTTGTTGTACTTATCCAATTTTGATAATAAGCTACACGAGTATAAACACCAGAATAAGCTGCACGTGCACATCCGACACCATAACTAGTTACACCAACTAATACCCATTGATTACTTGTTGTAAACATCATTAAAGGTCCACCTGAATCACCTTGACATGTATCTAGAAAAAGAAAAAATGATAGTAAAGATAAAAGAGAAAAAAGGAAAAGACTGAATTAAAAATTACCTTTACCACCACCAGAAATTCCCGCACAAAATTGCATTACTGGATTATTTAACACAGATCTGCAAGAAGATTGACGATAATCAATAGTTTGAACGGTTACTTGTTGAAGAGCTGTTGGTAATGAACCACCTTCCCATAATGTACCCCATCCTACAGCCACAACCTATCATATTATATTCGATCATTGATTTCAAAGAAAGAAAAAACAAAGATAATGTAACTTACGTATAAGTCAGCTGATGCCCATTCACCTGCGAGTAACGTAGCCGAACTTACATATGGAATACATATAATCTTCACTGTCGAACTTGACATTGTTAACGGAGTACTAAGCCGTATTAAAGCAATATCATTTACCTTAGTAGTATTGACATAACTTGGATGTACAGTTATACTAGATGCAACTCGAGATTGACCAGAATATCGAGTATTCGAACCAGCATAGACAGTCACTTGTGATGCTGAGATTCCAGATACACAATGTGCTGCTGTAATAATCCATGAACTTGACAAGATAGCTCCACCACATAATGAAGTACCTCTTATAGAAATAGATACAGCCCAACCCCAAGTACTTGTTCCTGCTGATTCTCCACCGACAATTCGAGTAACTGCTGCTGAATTAGATGAACATCCACATGATGCACTTGAATTACATGAATAATTGTATTGGTAGCTTGGTTGAACAATAACAAATAACAGCATCATCCAAAATATAATCGTGACATTATTGAATATTAATTTCATTTTTCTTTTTTTGGTCTTTAAATTAATGATTAATATTGACGATGAAAGACGCAATATAAACGTGGGATCATTGCTATGCAACACTATAGTTTTAAAACTTTTTCGTAGTATATCCTCACGTTTCTCATGATTGCGTAAACATTGATCCGGTTTCTTAGATGTCAATACAGGAAGGATTTTTTTTGTTCTTTAATTGATTAAAAAGTTATTGTAATTAAATGTACTAAATAAACAACAATAAATCAAAAGAAAAAAACAACAATCATAACTTGCTCTATAACTTTGACGCTTTTGACTAAAAGCAAGAATGCCGTGCAACGGTAAAAATAAAAGAGTTAGAAAAAAAATATTTTTCTCCGACATAGTAAAATGTCGTGCAAACGGAAACATAATGACGATTTAATTAGAATTGCACGCATAATAAAAATCAGTCAAAGTTGTAAATAAGTACCATGAGAAAACAACAAAACATCGTTTTAATATAAAATAATTCGAGAAAATCACTACTGAAAATCATACAAAAAGTTTCATAAACGATAGTAATGATTAAAATACAATATATATATATTTATAATGATAGCTATGAACTACTGTTCGTGATCATTGATTGACGATATAGTTGTGAATAAATTAGAAGTTATTAACTTTATTCAACAGTGTTTATTTATACGATCCAACATCTCATTGTATAGTATAGAAACAATCACGTGTAATGAAAAATGACGTCGTTAATACTAATCCTTCTATTATACAAATGTATGTTGTATTTATAGCATAGCAGACAAATACGTCAAATCCGTTATTAGACATTATGTGATGGTATATTAATCAGTAGTTCTAATTGTGAAAGAATAATTAGATGAAAAAATCTAGTTTTTAACGAGATTGCTGAACTCATCAAGTTAAGAATAAAAAACAAGTCATATTGAAATGATAGATTAGAATACACGAATTATCTTTAAAGAAACTAATCGAAATTAAATTCGATATTCCATATATATATGTATATATAAAGCTCGTTATTTATTTTAATAAATATAATTGTTATGTATAAGAATTGTTATTAATAAAATAATTAACTTGTTTGATATGGTCAGATGTTAGTTCATTTACCGATTATTATAATTACTAATCCATTATTATTTTAATTGAAATATAAAGAGTCTTATAATATCTAATTTTTCTGTATAGTTAATTTCATGACTTTACAAACGAGACCAACGACATCTTTCAACATATATTTCGATGGTCAATCTGTTTCTAGGTTACGATTCCGGAGAGTGATCAATGGATTAAATCTTTTTGGTTCCTTGTTTGTTAATTATTGAACTTATCAAAAATAAAAATTATGCTCGATCCTCAACAAAATTCTTCTCGACCATTATTATCTATAACTCCTCGAAAAAAATCCGTTCGTTTTAATATAACATCACCATCACCACGAATTCCAAAATTATTAAATGAAAATGAATCAAATAATATTAATCATCATCATCATCATCCAGTAAATGTATCTTATACAATTCCTTCAACAACAATCAATATTGATCATATAACAAATCAATCTCATATGCAACATTTAAATAATCATATTGAATATATTCCAACAACAAGACGAAATAATTTACAAATAACTGGTGAAAAAATTCTTCCACAACCTAAAACATTTGATGAACTTCAACAATTTATGAAAATTAAAGCTGAAAATCTTCGTAGAAATATGACAAAAGTAGCAACAACATTTAATCATGCTAGTACACATTTAAATCGTTTAAAAGAAGGTTAAAAATTTTTCATTAATATTTTTATTTATTTATTTATTTTACATAGAACAACAAGTAGTTCTTAAACGACCAAGTCGTATACCTGTTTCAACTCGTCATCGTTCACCATCACCAACAATTGTTATTTATAAAAAACCACAACATCATTCTCTTGATGATTTACGTTGGTATTGTTTAGCAAGAAAATTTTCAATATTATGGCAAAAAAAAATATTTGGCTATCATCTTCGTCGAATAAAATATTTTTATCAAAAAAATTTACTTAAAAAATATTTTCAATTATGGAAAAATATTACAAAAAATAATCAATATGAATTAATAGCTAATGAATTTTATCATCGAAATTTATTAAAAACTTATTTTCATATATGGTTAAATTTTTTATCACAAGATCACATAGCTATTGAACATATTAATCATAAACGTATTCAACATACTTGGAATATTTGGAAAATACAATTAAATAAACGACGTTTACATCAACAACAATTTATTATTGCTAATAAACAATATCAACGAAAAATTTTATTTCGTGTATGTTTTTTTATGAAAATTTGTTTTTTCTTGAAAGGTATCTTCTCCCTCTTTTGGACTATTCATGGTTCTCTACGAAAGTATAACTGATAGGACTCAAATTTTTACCACAGCTAGATTATCGAATATGATGAGGGGGTCCATATTCGAGAAAATGAGAGTGATCCGAATGCCGTAACTTGAAATACATTGAAAAAGACATTTGTACGTGCACAAGCCTTATTTTTTACTATGGCTCAGTGTTGCATTCGGTAGGATTTTTTCCTTACCAGATCGACATGAATCATTTTTCACATCTTTCATCCTATAAGAGTCATATCGACCTCTTGATTAATCATACCTATCTCTGAATCACATCAGAAATTATGTAAGACATCGGTTTCACTATTATAATGCTTTTCTTGGAGTACGGGGTTTTCGCTTTTTATTCTTTGGATTCTCCACAATAATTAAAGTAGCTCATCTAGAGGTATAAGCCGAAAGATCGAATACGGCGAGGAGCAAAACTCTTCAATTTTTGAGAATTTCCAACGACTACCAATTCGACTGTACAGGCTCTTCAGCAGCGATGACTATAATCATTTCAATTTTTTTTATAGAGATGACAGCGGCTGCTGAGTTTAAAATTGAGGTCTTCTTTCTAGAATAAGAAATTTCTGTTTATTTCAATACCTGTGGTTAGAAATTCGACTGATGAAAAATAACGAAAAAATGTTCGATCGCATATGCATGGATGTCAGTGGCGGCAGCGAAGCAGCTAAACTTGCTTTTTCACTGTGGCAGCACAGCTATACATCTTACACCTCTAACTCGACGATATTTAATATTTTACTCCCATAGAAATTGTACTAAAAGCTTTTTGTTCACTATCTGTTTCTATAAATTTTTCCTCCTTGGAGATCTATCAATGGATGTAAAATTTCATATGACTACAAATTGAAAAAGTTTCATGAAAATTGATTTTGGAGACCTTTTATTATGTTCAGCTTTCATTTTTAGTTTTATCAAATATGGCAAATCAATACATATCAACGACGACA